GCTCCGAGTCTGAGAGGCCTCCGAGGGCTGAGGCTGGACCCTCGGAGACAAATGGGGAAGTTTTCCGCCTGCTCGTCTCCCCCTACAGGCCACGTGCGCCATTGCAGCGAGAGCCCTGTCCAGCCCATGCATGCATTTCGCTTGTTCGCATTTTCTTGGACCTCGGGATCCACTCTCCATTCCCCAAAGGGGCTGCGTGCGGGGGGGCCCCACTCAGGGACTCCGCCCTGGGATGCTCTAAGGATCTTAGACCTCGGAACTGGATTGACTTTCTAGAAATAAGTGTCGGAGGGAGTGCAAACCCGTGTGTAGCCGAACGCTAAAATCCTCCCCATAAAAATCAACCCGCTTCCCCCCACCTTTTTTTTTTTTTTACAAATAAACCTCACTACGTGGAATAAAAAGCGGTGTCAGTAGTGTTGCCTTTAAATCTCAATTTAAGGGAATTGTAGTGCCTTTCGTCGCTGGTGCGCAGGTTCGGTCACACCAAATATGAGTTTCAAGCCCTCCCCCACCCAATGATAGCGTTCATTATATCTATTTGCATTTTCCCTTCCGTTCTGAACCTTTGTGGTTTACCAAGCTTAAAACAAAAAGAGCTTTTCAGAGGGGTCTCCCAGACATCCGCCAGGACTTTAAACAGGCACTGCCGGTTTGGGGGTTTGGATCTGAGTCTCCTACCCTCCAAGAAATAAAGGAAGGGGGGGACCATCTCTAAGCTAGTTCAAGGTTAAGAGGCTGGAAGTTGTCAGCGGTTCTCTCCTTTACACCCCACCGCCAAGGCATCGCTGGAAAAAGCCATTCGGATCTTAAGCGGCGGCTTGTGGCTGAGTGTCAAGCTGCGGGCGCAGGCTCGGCCGGTATTGCTGCTATGCGCGGAAATATGAGCGAGTAATTTTATAAGTAACAAAGGATCAGGGATGGAATGAGGCCCCTGTTATCCAATGTCATTTAGAAGCCTTGGATCAGCAGCTTCTTGAGGCTAAAAGTGAATGCAAGAAGCCCTGCCTTTCCCTTTTCCCAGGAGTGTCAGCTATATTTAGAAATAACCTCTATGTGTTTGCACAAATCATGTACCATTTGCTGTTTGTGTAAAAACCGATTAGCCAGACACAACTGTGAAACAACTTGTTACTTTTATAGCTGTAACACACAAACAGATTTAGATCCGTTTAGTTTTCCTTGTAAAAGGAGATTAGAAGGGACCCGCCCGGAGACGGTGTGGCCCATAATCTCTTCTCCTCGAAGGTTACCGTGGCTCCGCGGCGGTTATCTGGTTCTTGTGTGTCAAGTTGAACTATTTCACTCCCGGCAGCCTGTTTTATTTTAGGACCCTGATCCAGAAGGAATGTTTACTGAGACGCAATAATGTTTACCATTGACCAGGAAAACAGATTCGGTATTTGTGAGGGTCTTTCAACGCGGCTCGGTCCACGCCGTCTGCAAAGAAATAAGGCTCGGATCTGAAGCCCCGAGGCATCTCTGCTACCAGGAGGCAAGGTGGGCGCCAGCGGCAGAGATCGTGGCCGTGTTCTGCAAAAGGAGGAACCTAGGGCTGAGCTGACAAAACCGCTACCCGCTCCAGCTTTGAAAAGAGATTTCGCATAAGTAATTGTAACACCTAAATTAATTACAAAATAATTAGAATTGATGCCGTTTGAGGATATGGTAGTGGTGGTGGGAGCCGGCCTCCCGAATCTAGATGTTACATTTGTACCTTAATACTTTTAAGGTTGCAACAGCAGAAATGCACATTAAAATAATCTAGGAGGAAAAAAAAAATCTAGGACATCTTCACATTCCTGCCCTATGATCTCAAATTTCACACTAAGTATACGCATTTTTTTAAGAAAAAAAAAGGGGGGGAGGGGGTGATGTGCACCTGTTTTTAAAAGGATATTAAGGCCACACTATTCCTTGGCCTTCAGGAAAACTGTGGGTTGGAGGGTGGGGAGGCATCCAAAGAAACCGTTCAGAAATTGAAATTATGTTGTGGATTGCCATAGAAAAGAGGTATCTTATTTGAAAACATTATTTAAGAATAAAACTATATATTACCTATCAGGTTAATAAAATACAATTCCACTGCAAAATTCAAAATGCCATAATATACACTTTAAAAAATCAGCTGGGTTTATTTACCACTTCCACTTGAGCCATGAAAATAAGACATTTCAAAAACTAAAGATTTAAATACTAAAATGAGGGCTATGTCTGGAATTTATATTCGTGTGAGAGGATAATATTAATGACCAAGATCTGCATTTCAGAAATTTTCATTGTGCAAAATATGTCGGTATTTTTTAATTAAAAAAAGATGTAATTGTTGAGACTAAGGTTTGTTTTTCTTTCTTTTTCTTTTAAAGTAGCAGGTTATTTTATCTACGGACATTTCTGGTCATTTAGATTTAATGGATTGATATGAACAAGATCATGCCCCACATCCGGGTTTTATGTAAAAACTAAAATAAAAATATTACTATGATTTAAATTAGCATATTCTTTTCCTTGTTCAATTAAACTTTTCTTAAAACAAATTATGAATTAGCAAACTCCTCGAATTTCTGGTAAAGATGAAATACAAATATTTTTAAATCTCATCATTTACTTCAGATACCTAAATGAAACACTAGGCTGAGCGTTTTAAAAATTTATTTACAAAGTTGTGTACAACACGATGGAATAACATTTAGAATACCATATATATTCATTCATATATAAACAGACTTTTATAATAGAATGACACTTCTTGCCTTTTGAAAATTCTTTTACATTTAAAATCTCCCAACGTCTCTATACATTTTTCTCACATAAAACTGTGGAGAGTGAACCTTCAAAAAAAATGAAAGTTCAGAGCTCTAAATCTACTGAATTTGTTTCTTTTTTTCTTAAAAAAATAAAAACCCCAAAAGGAAAGTCAATAATTTTTATACAAATATGTACAAAGAATTTCCCTCCCTTCCCCACGGTACTGAGAGCAGATGCCGTCAGGGAACATTTTTGGAAAATTGAAGTTTTCGCTTTTACCTGTATGGAAAGCTATTCCCGGCGGGCGCGCGCAGAGTTTGGTCCGCCAGCCAAGGTGTGCATAAGAGGGTGGAGGCTGCGGAGGTCGGCGCTGAGGGGTCGGGGGCAGGAAATGGAGGAAAGGCAGAGTCTGGGATTGGGCAGGGGGGCCGGGACCAGGGCGGGGCGC